TTTAACATCTTTATTGGAGTGTAATTGCTTTACAATGGTTTTCTCTCACAAATGGAATTGCAGGGTCAGTGTTGTTGGCACACAGCCAGGAGCCTTGCTCCTTTGCAGAGTTTGTTCTGCTCCTAGAACATCACCCCCAAAGACCTGCTTCAAGCCCTGTTCCTTATAATTGCTTGCTTCAGGTTTTTGCCAGTGGCCAAAAAGATGAAACCCATATGATGTTCTTAGAGGGATTTTGCTGGCCCTAGTCTCTTGTCAAGGACTGTATCCATTGCCTGTCCTCACTTTATGAGGAATCACAATCTAGTTTACCCAGGCTATCTCATCTTGCTGCAGGTTTGTGTAAGCATAAAAAAATTTTTTTAAAATTATATTATTTTAAGACAAGCATAGTTAGAAAGTTGTCTAAAAATCATGAAATGTGTGATAATATGAAGTAACTGTTGTTATTGTTGGTTATCTGTGCTACTCATCATGACTATTAATATGAATATTGGAAGTATGATATGTGACTACACTATGTGACAAATTGCTTCATAAGCCTGTTAAATTTCTGCAAACTGAACCAGTATAAAAAAATGGAAAAACCAAATTGCCAGAGTGTTTTATTGCCTTAAAGGTTAGAATTTTAATTCGTATCATTATTTCATAGTAATAATAACAGTTTTGAATATTTCATTTTAATAGATGAAGGGAAACAGTGGAGATAACGCTACCGTTTTCATTATCTGGAATGCAAGTGTTTGAAAATAAAATAAACTGGAGCAGAGGCAGTAATTGAACATGTACCCAAAACTGATTTGCTAACAATTGAACCTTGAGACTAGAATTAAAAGTATCTATTAGAATAAAACTTTTTAGGTCATTGTTTTAAGAAATGGAGTGTCTGTATTGGAATACAATGAAAATCGTGTGCTTGAAGAATGTGATAATCGTAGGCAATATTCAGTTTGATTAACGCTAACTCTTTTTGTAGTTAAAACTTTGAAGAGAATAATGGTTATATATATATGTGTATATACATATATATAATCATCATAAAAAACAGAAAAATGCCATCGAAGTACAAGATAATTATTCCTAATAAAACTAATAGACTCTAATTACTCTGCCTGTTTTTCACTTTATTTTGTACTTTGTCGTACCTTGTAATATGTATTATATGTGTATAGGTATATATGGGTCACTTTTGTGGGGAAATATTTAAAGAAGCATAGCCTTGGGCAAGTCAGAGAACCTGCAAATTTGGATGTCAGTCACATGATCTTCAGAGCTAAATATTGACCACTTGAGGCAAAAAAAAAAACCAAAACACATTGTGTTTTACCTAGCTTCATGTGCAGTTCCAATTCTAAAGAGAGAGTTTCACCGATGCTTGGATGGGTTAAACTGGCCTTTGTTAAAGGGAAGTAGAGCTTTTCTTTAAATTATTTATTTATTTATTTATTTATTTATTTATTTATGGCTGTGTTGGGTCTTCGTTGCTGTGCGGGGGCTTCCTCTAGTTGTGGCAAGCGGCGGCTACGCTTCATTCTAGTGCGCGGGCTTCTCATTGTGGTGGCTTGTTGCGGAGCATGGGATCTAGATGCGTGGACTTAAGTATTTGCAGCACGTGGGCTCAGTAGCTGTGGCTCACAGGCTCTAGAGCACAGGCTCAGTAGTTGTGGCACATGGGTTTAGTTGCTCTGGGGCATGTAGGATCTTCCCGGACCAGGGCTCGAACCCGTGTCCCCTGCATTGGCAGATGGATTCTTAACCACTGCACCACCAGGGAAGTCCCAAGGGAAGTAGACTTTTGAACCTCTTCTTCAGAGGCTATTACTGCTAAAGAGAAGTGTAAGATTCCATTTACCATCTCGTTTCATTGAGGAGCTGCAGCCAAGAAACCAGGCTTGCTATGTCCTGTTTGCCAGTTACATGGTCTCGTGTGTGTCCTGTATAAGCCTTAGCACAAACTGCTTAAAAGGAAAAGGACTTTTCTTCTGGAAAGTGAACTTTCCTAGAGGGAGGTAAATACTGGGAAAGAGCTACAGCCAAGTTTAGGGACAGGAAAAAAAAATTTTGAAAGGGTAGAATAGGGTGTAAAAACAACCTCTCTGAAGACAGATTGAGGCCCTAGGGCCTGCTCTCAAAATATTAAGTGAAAATATAAGGAAACATTTTCACCACTTAAGAGAAAGTGGGCTGATCTAGGGTAGGGGGTTAGGAGCTGAAACAAACCTATGAGCTTTTTCAACGCAACACGCCAAGATTTAGTGGTCCAGCTCTATAATTGTTTTGTTGTAAAGTAATTGTGGAAAAGCTCATTGACATTTTATTTTTCTTTCTCTGATGCACCCTATAAATCATTGCGAAAAGTATATGTTTTACCTCTCAAATTTAGCTGAAATTGCACTTAAGGAAAAACTGATTAGTTTTTCATTGTGTGTTGTCATATATGCCCATAATTTCTTTTTGAAATAACCTTTAAATTCTTTTAAATGTTAAACTATGACACAGTTCAGTGCATGACACAACTTTTTGTTTACAACCTCTCATGAACAGAAAATGGCAAATAGTCAACTCATTTTGTCAGACAAAATAATTTTAGTATAGTAACATGTTTCTTGTTCAAAAGTAGTGTTAAGTTGAAATTATACATTAATGTTCATATTCAGTATGTACATTACATACAGGAAAGGCAAACAGAAAATTATGATACTCATATTTTCCAAATGTTTGTGTTTAGTATTATGAAAATTGATAATGAAATACCATAACCTTCATTTTATATATACAAATGATCATAAGTGAATATATATAAGTGAAAATGTATACCTTTTGGCATTCTTTCAAATGAATGTGATGATACATGCTTTTTATTCTTGTTTTACGCTGAGTTTTTGTATAAAAGAGTTAAATCAAGCTGATTAAATCATTTCAGTACCATAAGCGGGGAGCATAGAAGAGAGGATTAGCTCATCAGTCAGGATGGGTTAGGTCATAGTTTATCCAACCATAATTCAAGGGCTGTGTTCTCCGAGTCTGGAAGTTATGGTCGTGTGAAGGATCAGTGCCAAAATGTCTTTTATCATAAGTTGAAACTGCTTATTTCTGCAGCTGGCTAGGCTTTAGATGATTAGTTAGAATTAGTCAGGTATTTTCTTTTCAAAGCTCAGGATTGTCTTCTGTTCTCTGCCTTTGGTTTATAAAAGTGACTATGTTAGTTTGTATCAGATATACAGTGACACTTTTGTTAAGGGAGGAAATCCATTTATAATATGTGTATATATATATATGTATCTTTTTCAATAACTATAAACAGAAGTGGAATCAATGTGAAGCACAGAGATGTATTTGAAATAAAGAAGACTTTGGTAAAAAAACGAAAGATGTAAAGCATTGTTTTTCAAACTGTCAATTGTGGCCCATGGTGGGTAATGAATTCAGTTTAAGGCGTCTTTGACAGAATTTTAAGAATGGAATAAAAAAGAGAATAGGTTAACACAGAAAACATTGGCACAGTTATGAAACCTACTAGTGTGTGTGTGTGTGTGTGTGTGTGTTATTTGTGCTGGATTAAGATGTAAACTGTTTTTCTTACTTTTCCTTACTATTGGCCTTGAACAAAAATAATCTATAAGCTATTAGTGTAGAATAAAAAGGATAAAGTTGCTAGTTATGAAACGCTGGGCAGTTCATCTCCCTAAGCCAGTTTCTCATCTGTAAAATGGGATTCATGCAATCTCCCCTCACAGGGTTAATGGGAGAATTAAGTGAAATGATACATGTTCACGTGCCCAGCATGGTTCCTGCCACATAGCGTACATTCAATAAATGGTACATTTTATTAGTAGTAACATTGTGACTACTAAACTAATTAACTGCTGGCTTTTCAGCATGCATTAAATTATACTCCGGGATATCTTGAAATGGCTGAAGGAAATCACAGGTGTTCAATCAAAGTTATACATGGAAAGAGATAGACCAGAGCAAGAGATGTGGTCAGGTGGAGGTGTGCTGATGAATGCCAGATGAATGACAGGCTTGAAGAACTGTATTTGGTTAAGATTATTCCCTGCATTCCAGTAACTCCTGGTTAATTAGGAATCGAGTAGCCATTCAGCCCATCAGCCATCTAACCCACATACCTTTTATATGGCCAAATAGACCTCAAGGGATAATTGGGGTTTACCGTGAGGTCTTGTCAGATACATATGATCTGGTTTCAGAGACTTCTCTGTAAGATGGAACTATTTATTGTGAAAGAGTTTCGATTTGATTATCAGATACTCTGCAGTCGTCAGCTGTTGTGAACAGATATTCAGGTTCTCTACCCTTGTCTTGGAACAGGCACAATGAATGGATGTAATAAATAACGTATGGACCATATTAAAACCAAACTACAGTTGTATGTTCTTACCTCTCTAATTAAATCTGTCATGTTTATCCAGAATTTTGTTTACGTTCTCTTTCTCTCTTATTCATGGGCAGATTCCTTGATGGCAAAAAGGATGTCTTATTCACGGTGCTGGCAACCGTTTGACATAAATACATGTTTTTATGTATGAATGATTCCTGACCATCAATATATAAATCATATTGGGACAGACTCACATTTCTTCAGTTTTTTTGTGAAAGACCATTTTTCAGTCTTCCCAGCTGATTTACAGCTGTCACTGCCTAAGGCAGGGAAAAGTGGATGGAAAGTAGTTCTTCATGCTTTGAAATCTGTCTACCAACTAACTCTGGGCGATAGGATTCTGGCCCAAACACCATCCAGTGTATAGGCAGAGCAGTCCCTATGTCTCCAAATCCCAAAGAACTCTCCATTACTTAAAAGAATCATGGAATGTCTGTCTCTGTTATACTAGAGACCGGAGAATTTGGTTATTTTAGACCTCAGAAGTATACAGTTTCTCTACATGGTCTAGGCATTATCTCTCTATTTCCTTTGTTGGTTTTTGTTTGAGAGCACTGTGAATATTTTTAAGTATATGAAGACAAATCTTTTTTTCCAGGTCTGAGAATGAATAAAGGTGCCATCACCTCTCCCCGTACTTCTCCAGCAAATACGTGTTCCCCAGAAGTAATCCACCTGAAGGATATTGTCTGTTACCTGTCTCTCCTTGAAAGAGGAAGACCTGAGGATAAACTGGAGTGTATGTGTTTCTTCATTTAGTTTACTTATCACGGTTGGGGTGGGGGATAGGACTGGATATTGACAAACTTAAAATTGTATATACTGTGGTTGTTTACATTCTTATTAAGTAAAGTGACCTTGGTTAATAATTATAAAAAAATTCTCCAATTGAAAATCAGACAATTAAAAGATATTAAGAATCTATCAATTTTAGGTTATTATTGATCAAGGTCCATTTATTACTGATATTTCTTGAGCATGTTTATCAATTGATGGTTTTTGTTTTTGAGTTTGCCCAGTTTGGTAACGAGACGATATTGAAAAGTATCCTTTGTGTTGTTTTGAAAATACACTTATTTCTAGTATGTAGGAGGTTTTCCCATTAGGCAGAAAAAGGGTTCACTATCCGTAGGCAAACTGAGCCTTTCTCTCTGGAAATCTTCCTTGAAACCTTCTGCACTAACTTTCATTGCCGTGGACAAATAATTTCTTAAATGCCAAGCATGAGAGTTCCATTTCTAGAAGTTGACTCTGAATATTATAAATAGTTAGACAATAGCTTTTTTTTCTTTTACCACGTAGCAGGCGTTTCAGATAGAGAATTTCAATCTAGTTGAAAGGAAAGAAGTGCTCTCTTTAATAAAATACAATAACTGAGCTCTCTCTGGTGGCAAACTCTACTCATTGCAAGGCAAGAAAATATTTTTCAAACCTTTACTGCAAGCCCCATCATTTAATAATCTATTCTATCTCCAAAGCCCTTGCTAAATACAGAGCTGGTGGTTTGTTCAATAAGCTGATTAACCTGATTGTATTAGATATCATTCAAATGAATTAAATTTTTTTGCTACTGAAATGATAGTAAAGATAATGAATCCTAAATTTGACATTTCTAAAGTAAATGTAGAATATTGTGACACCTCAGAATTATGATTGGGTAGCATGTTTAGTTTAACAGTAACTTTCGATAATATTTCTCTTACTAATAAAGAATTTAATGTAATATGATTATTTAATAGTGACACCTGCTTAAGTTATGAATAAACCATATTAACATCATTCTTTAAATACATATTTATTAGTTCTAAATGTTGAATATTTGCATTTCAAGATTTATTTGTTTTCCTAAGAACCTACAGAAATCTCTCACATTCCAAAATAAATATTAATGTTTAGTGAATTTTTATTGAAGTAATGGCCAGAGAGAAAGTTTTCTCAGGTGTTACGAGGACTGTGTTTGGGATGATTTTACAAATACAAAGATTCGGGCTTCCCTGGTGGCGCAGTGGTTGAGAGTCTGCCTGCTGATGCAGGGGACACGGGTTTGTGCCCCGGTCCGGGAGGATCCCACATGCCGCGGAGCGACTAGGCCCGTGAGCCATGGCCCCTGAGCCTGTGTGTCTGGAGCCTGTGCTTCGCAACGGGAGAGGCCACAACAGTGAGAGGCCCGCGTACCGCAAAAAAACAAAACAAAGATTCTATTCCAGGTCTGAGAATAAATAAAGACACCATTACTTCTCCCCAACATGGTCTTTGTGATGCAGTTTAATTATTTTTAGGTCAACTGCAAGTATTTTGTTTTTAAGGTAGAATTCCTAAGAGGTATGTTGTAAGTTCTCAATGTGAATCTGTGTCTCAGCAGTCCTCGTCCACAGTTGCCAAGGCATAATGTTAACCCACGAGTGATTCAGAAACACTTAATGAATCAAGTTGAACCTGACCTGCCATTTACCTCTCTTCAGTGTTATCAATCCCCTTCCCTCGGTTCTTTAAGTTTTCCAGCTCTTTTTTGAGCTTATACCATTCATTTCTTTAGACTTCCCGCATAGACAGACTTGTTACCACCTGGCATTACTTCTGTGATTTTCACCAGACTCTTGAAAGAAAATGCATTTCAATTTCAGAAACTCATTAAGGTTCTAGCTCTGTTCTAGTTTTCTTCTCTACTCTCCTCGAGTGTGGAGGACCTTAACCTGGTCCTTACTCATCTGGAGCTTGTGTTTGTTGGTTTGTTTTCTGAATGCCAGTGCCAGGCTTTTTCCTACATCAGTTAAATCAGAATCCATTTCTTTCGCCCAGTTTCTTAGCTATGTACTTATACATTTTTCCCTTCTACAGTTGCGCATTTACAAATTTCTAACATTCATATAGTATATTATAGTTATAGATTCTGAAATTTTTTTCAATGTCTTTAAAGAAATCTAATGGTTGTTCATTTAATATATATTTCCAAAATGGTTATGACTTATTAAACATAATGTATACTAGAGGAAAGAAAAGAAGAAAATAATTAAAATTAACACAGAAGTACATATGATCAAGCATCTAATATAGTTAACTTTTGCAGGTGAGTGATGTTTTTGAATCTCAATTTCTAAGCAGCTAAGCAGAAAGGAGTATAGACGTGTTGTCTTAGGCCAGAGGTTCTTGAACTTTATCGCACATAAGAATCACCTGTAGGGCTTATGAACACACAGCTTGCTCTGCCCCAACTTGAGTGTATGTGATTCAGCAAGCCTGGAATAGGACTTCAGAGTTTTCATTTCAGGTCATGCTGATGTTGCAGGGACCACATTTTGAGAAGCATTGGTTTATGCAGTTCCTTCAGTCCAATGAAAACACACACACACACACATAATTCATCTGAAACTACAATTGTTCTTGGAATTGATGGTGGCATTATTTGATACGTTCTTTTACCTGGGTTATTAGATAAATTAATGACATGTTTTAAATATTCTTCCCCAAAAAACAATGTTTTATAAATCTATTCAGTGCTTACTGCCACTTCTAATCTCCCCCACCTCTCTCTTCTGCCAGGCATTTACAAAATGTTTACAATAAAGCATTTTTTTTTCATTGAAAGGAAACAAACAAACGCTTTGAACTTTCCACTGATTATATGCCATTTCTTCAACTTGCTTTCCTTCGCTCAATCTTTGACTCAATCCTAATGCCTCCCTGTGGTCTTTGCCAGTTCTGAGGCCCCGTCAAGTAGAAGGTATTTATTTACCTGTTCCCATGAACCCTTGGAAAGTATGTGTGCGTGCATGTGTGCGTGTCCTGAAGTTGTGGAGGAATTCTATTTTTGTCTTGGTGGAAGTTACCAACCATCAAGGTGCATAGATAAGAACATTGTACCAGGTCTGGTTTGCCCTGTTCACCTTAAGCCCACTACAGTACTTTATGGAGAGCCATTCAATACATCCCTCTTTGAGTCTCCTTAGATTCCTCAAATACTGTGACCTCAACTCCATTTTATTTCAGTCACCCACTTTTGTTGCAATACCCCAAGTCTTTTAATTCCCAAAGACTGCTCTTATTCTATAAATTTAAATTCTAGTATTTTACTTTGACCACAGCCTAAGCTCACGTAACTTTTTACTTTTCTGCTTTGAGCTTAAATATAGCATAGCACAGTACTCAAGAGCTTGGACCCTTCACTTCACTAACTGAATGAATCTTAGCTTTGACCCTTACTATCTGAGTGACCCAGGCACATTGTTAAAACCTCTCAGGCCTCAGCTTCCCCAGCTGTAAAATTGGGATCATAATAATGTCTATCTTGTATGTTTGCTATGAGGATTAAATGAACCAATATTTGCTCACACAAATTCCTTCACATTTATGTGAATGTTAAATGAAATAAAAATAAGTTAATGGGCTTCCCTGGTGGCGCAGTGGTTGAGAGTCCGCCTGCCGATGCAGGGGACACGGGTTCGTGCCCTGGTCCGGGAAGATCCCACATGCCGTGGAGCGGCTGGGCCCGTGAGCCATGGCCGCTGAGCCTGCGGATCCGGAGCCTGGTCTCCGCAAAGGGAGAGGCCAAAACAGGGAGAGGCCCGCGTACCCAAAAAAAAAAAAAAAAAAAAGTAAGTTAAGAATTCTTGCCCCTTGACCGCTTCACTTCCTCCTGAACTTGCTTGCTGCTTTTGGGCCTCCCACCCCTTCAAATGTAGACTGACCCCGTAATTCGTGAGGTCAATCATTCCTTCTCACTTAGTTTTGAACATCCAATTTATTTGCTCATATACTGAGCTGCCGGAGATTTTGTGAAATGATAATATAATTCTGTGGATTAGAACTCTTCTCAAAACCTCAGCTGGCCTTCAGTGCCTTCAGTGTTTCTCTGGTCATTGACTTCTCCTAGTTAAAAGTTCATTCAGGGCTTCCCTGGTGGCGCAGTGGTTGAGAGGCCGCCTGCCGATGCAGGGGACACGGGTTCGTGCCCCGGTCCGGGAAGATCCCACATGCCGCGGAGCGGCTGGGCCCGTGAGCCATGGCCGCTGAGCCTGCGCGTCCGGAGCCTGTGCTCCGCAACCGGAGAGGCCACAACAGTGAGAGGTCCGCGTACCACAAAAAAAAAAAAAAGTTCATTCAGATGCTTTGTTACTTCAAACACCTACCTAATTAATTGTCATCTCACTCATTAGCTGTAAATTCTTATAACTTTCTCTCATGTTGCCTAAAACTTGTCAACTTCTATACCTGTTCTTTCCTCTTCTTCTGACTCAGGAAGAATGGGTCCCTTTTGTAGTTCCCTATTGAATAATACATCAAAGTAAGTCCTTAACTTAGCATCCATAAACTAATCTGGCTCCATAATTTGACCCCAACCTACTTGCATTTGGCTATGACCTGCACAAAAAAGTCCCAGTCATATGAATCTACTTTTTAATTATCAGACAAACTCTGAACTTTTCCACCTTCATGCCTTTGCTTATAATGTGCATTTGCTAGGGGTGTATATCTTTCCCAGTGTATATCAGATCCAGTCCAGTCTACACTTGAAGCCTAGCTCACATCATGAGTCCTCTTGCCATCTCTAATCAGATTATTTTACTCTCCTTCCTTGTACCATTGCACTGTGTGTAACTTCCCACTCTAGCACCTACCACTTATATATGTGTGTTTTTCAAAAGATAGATGCTCAGTAAATGCTAGTTAAATGGAACTGTATTGAAGTCTACAGGTGCTTGACAAGAGGAAGATAATGTGAATTATTGAAGGCATCAAATA